GTAAAAACTATGGCAAAATTACATGCCAATTTACTAATGCACCTTTTTATTTTCTCTAAATTTATGAATCACATTTATTAGCGAAGTCTGATAAATAAAAAGCCTATAATAAAATAAATTTATTTATTAATTTACAAAAATATTTAAGTACCAGCTATGCCCTAGGTACTCTATTAGGTCTTGAAATACAAAGATAAAAAAGAATGCCTCTGTATGCCAGGGATCACGAGCCACTGCAATGAAAGGTAAATGTTATATATACATATATATTATAACATACATAATTGTTTTAAGGCTGAAAATTGAAGGTAATGGAAAATTTTACTTTCATTTTTAAAAATGTACTATTTCTTTTTAAGTCACTACTTTTGTGTAAACATGGAATGATTTTTCCTTAAGATGTAACAAGTGTTGTTAGAAAAAGAGAAAACCCATGTATTAAATGGCCGTTGACAATAAATATTTTTTATGAATAATGGTAGGCAAACATAGTTGTGTTGAATAAATAATTAGAATAAATGTATTCAACAACTATGTATTGATTGCCTACCACATGTCATGCTCTGTACAAGGCCCTGGATATACATTGACAAACAACTAGACATGATCTTTGTCTCCATTGAATTCCAGTCTAGCAGGAGAGAAGAAAAGAAATGATTGTTTGTGATCACTGGTGTAGCTGTGTGTATACCAAAGTAGTTAAAAATGCTAAGATGAATAAGTCCCATTGAGAAGGAGGTTTACAAGGAACCCACTAGAGGTTACATAGTAAGCAAAGGTCTTTTCAAGTTAACAACATTTAAAGGGAGATCCAAAGAATAATTATCTTTGCTAATTTTTTTTTTTTTTTTTTTTAATGCAGTCATGGGTGAAAGTATCTAAAACCTCCAATGACTACTTTTCACCTATGATTATAATAATTTACCTTTTTATTTTATTATTATTTTTTTTGTCTTTTTTCGTGTCCGGCAACGGATCGCAACCCTCAGTGTCGCGCCCGTACTGGACCGGGACCGGCAACGGGATCGCAACCCTCAGTGTTGCACCCGCACCTCGCTCAGCCAGTGAGTGGGAACCGGTCTGTATGTGGGATCCGAACCCTCGGTGGGAGCGCCGCCGTACTCCCAAGCGGCGCACTGTAGCAGTGCGCCACCGGGCTGACACCCTAATTTACCTTTTTAAAAAAATGTTAGGATTAATCAGAAAAGTCAAATACAATTTATTAATTCTGGATATAATAAAAATTCTGACACAAAGAATAATTGCAATTTGTAATGATAAACATGCTAATAATACTGATTTGATCATCACATATTGTACACAAATACTGATAGTCAACTCTGTACCCCATAAATATGTGTAATCAATTATGTTTCAATTAAAAAATGAATTTTAAAAAATCTCTTAACACTTTGTATATCTGCTCATTTGTGAAAGTTAACCTTTAGGAAAAAGCTAGCAAATTATACATCTTATTCAGAAAAGCTCACAGTCAACCACAGCAGAAATTTAAGACACAAATAAATATCTACACATATTCTTCTATTATTTATTCATATAGCTTCCATATTAGTTGATTAAGGGATAGTAGGTTCCTTTATTGTTGAATCAAAATGGCACACATAAATAACTTGATTTTTGATATGTAAAAACCGTAAATGTTCGCATCATTATTTTTTAAAATAATTTTAAGGGACCAAACTGGGGATTCTGAAAAATAGGTCTATTTTTTCATCCTATAGAATTTGTCAACATGATAACCTTAATGGAAAAACGAAGGTACTTATTGATATGTATGTATGTGAGTGTAAGGATATATATGTATGTATGTATATGTATATACATATCTTATATTCTCACACATGTATGCATTGATTATGTTTTGAAAGTAACCAGTACAGTTTATTGCCATGGGTCATTTTTACTATTCAAAGAGTCAGTCAACTGGAATGGCTTGATTTTACACTATTATTTCTATGGAAACTTTTTGAAAGCTATATAGTAATTCTTGACATCTTACAAGTTCCACTGAGATTTTTTGCTTAGCTAATCTGCATTAATGCCAATTAAATGTATTAATAGAAATGGCCTAAAAGCAAATTTGGTTTTAAAAATAATCTTGTATGTTCTCTTAGTGTCTCCTTAACAATATCAGTTCACTGTAAGTAGATAAAATTTCAATTTCAATTTCAATTTTAATAACTATCAATACATCATATAAGCTGATTGTATAGAATAAGTGGATACCTTCAAAAACTGATTAAATATCAAGTGCTAGAATTTCAATTTCAATTTCAATTTTAATAACTATCAATACATCATATAAGCTGATTGTATAGACTAAGTGGATACCTTCAAAAACTGATTAAATATCAAGTGCTAGCCTCTTTAAAATATCTTGTGTAACTAGAGAAGCGCCACATGCATTTTAGAAGTATAGCAAGGCCATTTTACATGGCAACTAGCACAATAGATACTAGAATCAGTCTAGGTCTGAGTCTGGCTTCACTGTTTTTTCAGCTATATGACCATGTGCAAATTATACATAGTAATTCAATTCATTTTAGTGATTTACTTTAAGAATAAAATTAAGCACTTCAGGGACATATTAAGCATGGAGTGGAAGCTAGCTTTCTTATAACTTGTTATTAGTGTTACTGATACTATTCTAAGTCATGGTCAGGGACTAGGGGTATGTTGGAAGACTTGCACTGTCTCAAATTGTTTAATTTACAAACTCAGTCTACTGAGACTCTCTCTCGAGGATCTTCACTGCACTGGCTCTTTGACCTTGGTCTAGTTACTTAACTTCTTTGCGCTCCAATTTCCTCATCTGTGAGATGATGTGCATACATAACTTCCCAGGTTTGTTTTGGCTCTAACGTGATGTGATTCTATGAAATGGGAAGTTAATTTATTTGCCTTTAGTAACTTTATTCAAAGCACAAATATTAAAAAGGCATAAATAATTCTTATCCTATTATGAGTTTCCATTCACTCCACGGAACTAATCATTTGGAATAAGCCATTTTGGATGTGCTGTTTGATCCGAGTATTCAGTAGAAATCACAAGCACCGCATTTCAGTTTTGGACAAAACTCAGAACTCATTTAACCATCAATGTTACAGACTTGTAAGAGATTCCCATTGAATCTTAATTTAGATAACTCAGTTAATTAAAGAAAATACAGTTGAATTTTAATTTATAAAACCAAAACTGCATTGAAATGATCTGTACAAACCCTTGTTGACCTTTATTAGAAAACATCCTCTCAGAAAGCCTAAAAGACTTACTTATTCAGGTTGAGACTCTTTATGAGCAAATGTGATATTCTCTATCTATTGCTAGATCTCCGCATCAGAAGACAGCATTCCTCCGAAAGTGTTTCTAGTATCAACAGTGCCACAAGCCATTCCAGCATTGGCAGTGGTAATGATGCTGACTCCAAGAAAAAGAAAAAGAAAAACTGGGTAAGCCGTAATCACTTATCTAATTCTGAAGCTGCTTATTGCACAGTGAGGTAGGCTTTTTCCTTTGGGGCTTTAGATATCTGCAGCAATTTGCAAAGAGTCTCACTGGAGTGACTGGAGCCTCCAACGCTGTACTCATTACCAAGATTAGGATGGCATGGGGATGAGGAGTAGACATTTTGGAGTTGGGACTAACCTTGGGTTTGAATCTCCACTGGATCCCTACTTTATCTTTTGTGGGGACTGAATGTTCTCATCTGCAAAAATAGAATAACTAATACTGACTTTATAGAGTTGTAGTAAAGAAAAATAAGATAACATCTGTATACAAATGGCTTAGAACAGGGGCTTATTGTGGGGGTGGTGATGAAGAAGAAAAAGATTACGGTGGTGATGATGATTGTGGTGGTGGTACTGGAGGAAAAGGAGGATTGGAGTTGAGGAAGGGAAAAAAGAGACATTGAGAGCTCCCCTCCCCACCCCCCCCAAATCAACAGGGCTTACAGTGTGAATAAAGTTTCACCCCATAAAAACGACTGTATTAATACCTGCTTGATTTGTTTTTTACCAAGAGAACATAGTAAAAATATAGAAATGCACTTTAACAGAACTGTGCCTTAAGTTTGCTAGAGATATACTTTATGATAATATTAAGCAATTGTTAAAAAACTGAGGGAGAGATGCTATCACTGCCAAAAGTTTAAAAACAATGAAGTAAAGGATTTTTTTAATACCATGAAACAAAGGTAAATTTTAAATAAACACAAATCAATGAAATCCAAAACATAACTATCAGAGGATTTTACTAGAGTACTTTCTATAAATAATGAGAGAAATATCTTTTTTGTTTAAAAAAAAATGTTTATGCAGGTAATATTTTAAAATACTGATCAGCCTTCATTCCCTTGATTTGTAATTCCACATTCTTTCATGTTTCTGCAAGGTGAACTCTAGAGGAAGTGAGGTGAATATAAACCATGGACAATTGGCATGCATCTATGAAAAAAACCCTACCTTGGCATGAATGCTATTCAGTTTGGCAGTAGGCTTTTACAGCTTTTAAAAACAGATTACCTTGTATGTCTTTCTTTGTGTCTTTTCATTTTAATCTCAAATTTTAAAGAGAAGTATAACCACTTTCTGAATAGAGCTGTAGGGGATACCAATTCTGGTTTTGAATAGTCTGGGAATTGAAAATTTGAATAGAAAATCATAATTAACGAAGTGTTAGGTGAATTTGATTTCATTTTGCTTTTTAAGTTTGTACTGTCAGCAGGACATGACTTGATTGTAGCACTAAAGTGGCCATTTAAAACAAATTGCCTTGAAGAGAGAAGCATTGGGAATGGAGATCCCTTCAAGGTACTTAGTTTTAAATGAGTGCTCTGACAGTCGTGCCCTTGACCTTGCACTATTTAAAAGCCTTCCGTGTATGTGCTGTGCTGGATTAATACAAGAATAAAATGAAAACACAAAACACAGTATCATTTTGTTTTAGGGATACTGTGCTGCAACTGTTAATACTCTGCTTATACATACTGACCCCAGGCAGTGGCTAGGATGGCACCTGCAAACTAACGCCCCAAAGCAAAACCTCTCCAAGTACAAATAGACAAGCAGGGTAATGTCTGTCCTTCTTTCAGCTGAGAAGCTCTTTCAAACAAGCCTTTGGGAAGAAAAAGTCCACCAAGCCTCCTTCCTCACATTCGGACATTGAAGAGCTCACTGATTCATCCCTTCCAGCATCACCTAAGTTGCCCCATAATGCTGGGGACTGTGGCTCAGCATCCATGAAGCCCTCACAATCTGCCTCAGCGTAAGTCATTCCCTTTACACAATGCTGAAATAGTTTTAAAGAACAACTTCAGGCCAAGCCCATGTGTATGTTCTAAATGTAATTAAGCTGTACTTTCCCGATGGTAGCACCATGGTCATTTTCAGATCTTTCTGAGAATGGTGGACAGCATTTGTTTAACTTTCATTTTTCATATATTAAAAAGAACAACTTCAGGCCAAGCCCATGTGTATGTTCTAAATGTAATTAAGCTGTACTTTCCCAATGTTAGCACCATGGTCATTTTCAGATCTTTCTGAGAATGGTGGACAGCATTTGTTTAACTTTCATTTTTCATATATTAAAATTCGAGTGTTTCTTGATCTCATTCTTCACTTTTCTAAATCATTATTCTCACTTCTTTTCACTTGCATTTGTCCATGTATCTGTCTAACTGTGCGTACATGCAGGTCACCCCTTGTCTGGCCACCAAAGAAACGGCAAAATGGCCTTGTGATCTACAAGCATAGATCCCGGTAAAATGGCGTGTGATGCATGGAAACTGCAAAGATCCAGGTTCTAACCTAAGCAGCGTTCGCTTTTGCTTTTTCTAAAATCACTTGCATGCATTTAAAAATAAATACCTCCTCTTTCTTTCTGTTTTTCAACTAAAATTTGGTTTTTTAAAACCAACCTACAGTCTGTTTTTCTTTGATTCTATTAGATAATCTAATACAGCATTTTCTATAGTAGTAGCATTTTCTAGGTAGCATTTTCACTTTGGATAGTATAAGAAAGAACACAACATTTAGAATGTAGACACATGTTCTAATGAGATGATTCTCTTTGTTTTATATACTATTTAAGTCAGGTTTCCTTGTATGTCCATGACAATGACTAGCATAGCAATGTCATATAGAACAGGGCCACTATGCTTTGGCTACACAATTTTATCTCCTATTTAAGAAGGAAAAACATACCACTATCATTTTGTAATCAGCAACCTAGTCCTCAAATTTTAAATGGAAAAAAGATATTAGTTAGTATAAAATAATTTTTGACAGATTTCTTACAAAGCTGTTCACAAAACAATAAAACAAAGTAATAAGGATAAAATGTATATGACCTTCAAACAGCCTCCAGCTAGCCAGCTAGTATGGATTGAAACTTGTGATTTAGCTTCATTAGCTGTGATCTCCTAAATCAGCTGAGCCTAACAGGAAGATTTTATACACTCATCCATTATTTTAATGTCCAAAACTAATCTCTCTTATTTATTTTCTACAATATTCATATTGGATTTTCACAGTAACTTGAAGACAGTATGGTGGCAGAAAAGGTTATTGTTTACACAGTTTTACTAAAGAACAAAAATATGTTAAGGACATAATCACTTTGCCTTTAAGAAGGAATATTTCACATGTTGCAAATGGAGATTTGTCTCTTGAAAAAATGACAATAAAATGTAGTAATACTATGATTCTTCTGCCGTATAAATATCAGCATCCATAAAGGAATTCTGAGGATCACTTTATATTCGGTAATAGAAGATTGTTTTTAAACTTTAGAAAATAAGAATAAAAGAATAAAAGAATAAGACAGCTATTTTTAGTTTTGAATTTGTGAATGCATTACTGTTTGTAAAACTTTTTCTTTCTCTAGGTTTTGCCAGCAGCAAATAATTTCTGTACCTGCTGGATAATATTGCAGTTCAGACTTTAAACGAGGCATTGCTTTTCCTAATCCTCTGGCTTCCCCAGACCACTGATTTCATGTTTGTTTCCTTCTTCAGGATCTGTGAATGCACAGAGGCTGAGGCGGAGATAATTCTGCAGCTGAAGAGCGAGCTCAGAGAAAAGGAATTAAAATTAACCGATATTCGGCTGGAGGCCCTCAGCTCTGCTCATCATCTTGATCAGATCCGGGAAGCCATGAACCGGATGCAGGTTGGTGCTGAAGCATCTTCTAGAACAAAATAGAGAGACAGAAATGCTGCTTGTTCTCTTCTCTTGGTTATTGTGAGGGAAAAAACGTCCACTTTTAAACTCACCATGGACATGTACTTTGTTTATTCAATCTCCACAACTTATTTTTCAATATCAAATGGAGAATTTTGTCAAGCCCGGGTTTCAGGTGGGAGTGCAAACTGGCTGGTTATACTCAAGGACCATTCAAGATCATTGTAGTAGTGCTTAGATTCAGGTTGAGAGCTGAGTTTTCAGACACAATACGACAATTCTTGCTTCTTCAGTTTTCCATGATTTATCTTTATGTTGAATTTTTTCCTGTTCTTTGGAAATCTGACTTTCAAATACCTTCACCCATTTTCTATTGAAAAACAAAGGTAATGAGGAAACTACAGAAATACAACACAAGCCTTCTGAATATGGAAGAAAAAGTGATTTAGAATGCCATCTGCAAAAGTGAAGCTTTTGTATTTTTTGAAAACTTCTGAAGGCTAAATTCAGAACCGGTCTGTGCTCAGACTAAGTTTTCTTTTTATTATTGTAAACCAGTAATCACTTGGTACCACAGATGACTGAAATAAGAAAAGCTCGTCGCTTAGCAGGTGCACCTGCCACTGTATGTATTCGTCAAAAGGCTTTCATTGTTTTTATGACCTTAGTACCCCATTTTGAAGGAACTAAAACTTTTTCAGGTGTTAGCTTGGATTCTGAAGTAAGCTTAAATCACCTTATTTATATTATTTTGTTTTTCTCTGTTTTTGTACTCTCCATGAATTCACAGTATTACAAATGGTGTTATTTGCTTATGGGATTCCAACATCACTCTTAAAATGAGAAATACTCTGAATTATTCAATTATATAATTCTTAAACAAGACCAAGTTTTGGAAAACTTCTCAAAAATATGATATATTCAAAAAATAAGTATTAAAAATGTCTAATGGTTAGTGTGTCTATATATGTGAATACAGGAATACATATATGTGAGAGACAGAGAAAAAGTTAACTTTCTTCAGAAGGAAATACTGTTTTCGTAATTTATATTTGTTTAACATAATACCATGTGCTTTGTTTAACAAATTGACTCTGATAAAAGATTTGGTGCTATTTTCTCAATCAAACTAGCTCAGTTTTTATTTTTTCATGTTTTTTGTGTTCATAACAGAATGAGATTGAAGTACTCAAGGCTGAAAACGACAGGTTGAAGGCAGAGACTGGGAACACAGCTAAGCCTGCCCGGCCTCCGTCAGAATCCTCAAGCAGCACCTCCTCTTCCTCTTCACGGCAGTCCTTAGGACTTTCTCTAAACAATTTGAACATCACAGAGTCTGTTACCTCAGGTGATTTAGTGCACATCCCTGCCTGAATCATGCCTATCAGTTAACAGAAGTGGGGGAAAGTCTGCAATTTGGGGAACCTTACACCCTTTTAAAAATGTTAATGCTCTAACTCTCAGAAATAGTCTTCTTTTTATCTTATAAACTTATTCTACTTAGTTGTAATTTTAAAAGACCATTTTCTGTGAAAGAGTGAATCTTAGAGATATGGCTTTCCTATCATTTTTTTAAAAATCACTTGTGCTTGGGAAGTACTTTCTCCATGATCATGAATAATAATAAATATCTCAGTGATGATCATTAGTACTCATGAATATGGTAATAATTACCCCATGCAATTTTATAGCGTTTTAAGTGTACAAAGCCTATTTACAAGTGTATCAGGACCTATTTCTAAATTTGACTAAATGATCCTGCCTGATGTTGCATACAGAGAACATAATGCTACTATATCACCCAGTCTGCAGCTTTATTAAATTTCCAACAAACAAAAAGAACACATTGGATTCTGTTATTGTATTCAACAACACTAATGATGGAACAGGGATATAGTTTTGATCCCATTGCAAATAAAATCATATGACATAATGTCATCTTAATATCTGATGAGCTATTCGATTTTAAAGTATAACTGCTCTTACAGCATTGAATCATTTTATGAATATAGGATTAAGTTTGGGAAATGTTTACATGAGGATCTGTGGTAATTGCAAAACACAGCCACAAGATGACGCTTGGAAACCAATAATATACAAGTTCTTGGGTAACTTTAGATTCATTGTGAAACTGAGACAATCCACTGCTTGCCTTCAATCACATTAAAATATAAAAGAAGGAAAATGACACAGCATGCTGATATTGATTACATTTACAATAAATGATCATATTTCTAATAAATTAAATCTGTTTTAAAAAGTCAGAATTTTTTAATTACACTGTTATGACTGCCCTTCAAAACACAAAATGAATGGCCTGCATATATACTTTCCTTTAACTTATATCTAAAATGCATATGGGAACTTTCTTTAATTCAGGAAAACAACATTTATAAATATTTGGTGGGGATTAGGGGAAGTAAATAAATTCTGAGAATAAGAATCTATAAAACTGATATCAGTAATCAAGAAAAAACAGATCTCAGAATTAAATTTACTTATAGAACATTAGGTAAAATAAGATTATGGAAATAAATTTTAATAACTTGAATATGTAAATTGTACATAAAGTGTTATTATCCACACTCCTCAAAATATTCTAAAAAGAAAGAACAAAAAATTTAAATGCGTAGAATATGAGGGTCCTAGTAATATCCTGTATATCGGCTTGGTGTTGAACCTGATAGAGAAGTGAGTAGGAACTACACCTAATGGCACCCAGTGTATGTCTGTATTCCCAGGCTTGACTCCTACAGAAAAACAAGGGAAATACCTTATAGGACACCTTAAATACCTTATAGGACAGGATTTCACTGCCTGTCACATAACTTTGTTTTATTTTATGGAAATACAGTCATTGTTGAATGAGGCAAGGTTAGTACTGAAGGTAGTTTAGAAAGAATAGACATAAAAATGAAACCAAAATTAATGTCTAAGGAAAGACTAGAACTCATAAAGACAAATATAAAATCAAAGAGATCAAATTTATAATTTCTGCATTCATTGAACTTAACACAGTTATGGCTATGACTGAGAATTTGGGGCTACTTTGGGAGAGGCTGTTTTTAAGATTTGTTTTAAAATATTTGTTTTAAAAAGAACCATTGCATCAGTTCTTTTTAATCCTTATTTTATTTCCTTAATCATTTTTTAATAGTGATACTTGTGTCCAAACTAACAAAAAAATGAAATCAAATGATTGTTTTCATTGCCTTCATTCTTGTTTAATGGGTTCAAAATTTGGAAATCAAAAATGCCATTATTCTGGAGCTTTTTAAAAAAAACTTTATTTTATTTTATTTTACTTCTCAAAATACATTGTACTTGATTTTCATGCCCCTTTACTCATTCCTCTCTACCCCCTTCCCTCTCCCTCTACATCGTATCTGTACACTTGGCTTAAATAGTAAAAGGAATTTTTGTGGTTATTATGTATTCTTGTGCTGGAGCTTTTTAATGGAAAAAACTTTCCTTTCTAGGGTTCATGATTAATTTTTTTACTTCTCAAAATACATTGTACTTGATTTTCATGCCCCTTTACTCATTCCTCTCCACCCCCTTCCCTCTCCCTCTACATCGTATCTGTACACTTGGCTTAAATAGTAAAAGGAATTTTTGTGGTTATTCTGTCTTCTTGTGCTGGAGCTTTTTAATGGAAAAAACTTTCCTTTCTAGGGTTCATGATTAATTTTTTAAAAAGGAAAGAAGTAGGCAGGACAGAGGGTAATTGACAAATGTCCAGTTCCTAAAATATTAAGTGCATGTTCCATGTATCCGGTAAAGACAGAAGTTTGAGAAACCTTCATTTTTTTTGTCAGAATTGCACTTGATTGTAACCAGAATGGCAAATCTTCTTTCTTCAAAATTTTGACAAAGGACCAAAATTTATTTTCCATTAAAAATCCCACAGAGCACCTTCACCTCAAACTTACTGTTGTTCCCTGGAGTTGTTTCTTCAGATGATCATCCTATCCATACAGTACTGCAAACAGGGCAGACCCGGGCTGAGTCATCATGTGATTCTCCCACTGTCAATAGGAGTTAGGATAAACACAGAGAAAAAGGAATGATGTTTAGAACAGCAAAACTTACTAGACACTGAGGACAAATTGCTTTTAAAGCATTACCTCTTATACTCTCAAAATCCCTACAAAGTGCTCTTTAAGACCCATTTTACAAATGAGGAAACCAAGACTATAATAATTTGTTCAAATTTGTAACTAATAACTGGTGGAATTAATATTTGAACCCAGTTTGGATGAATCCAGAGCCTGGCCTTTTAATGTCTATATTAATTTTGCTTTAAGTAGCCACATAAAGAAAAGCCAAGAATAGTCATTCACTCATTTATTGGTNATTTTGCTTTAAGTAGCCACATAAAGAAAAGCCAAGAATAGTCATTCACTCATTTATTGGTGGATATTTACAGCACTGCTGTCAGGAGAAATTTTATATTTTAAGCATAGTTTTTAAGAGTAAGTTTAACATAAAATGAATAACATGTTCCAAGACAAACTTGAGCAGATATGTGGATGATCAATCAGGTTCAACCCCTTGCCATGGACTACTAGGCCACGCATGATGTGGCCCTTACCTGACACAAGTGCTGTAAATATTTACCAATAAATGAGTGAACACTGTCTTCATATTAAGTGTGGCTCTATAATAGCATCATCGTTGAAGGAAAACATATATTTGGGATAGTTTGCTTTAATAATTCTCCAAATTAGACACTAACCTGATATAATATATTTTGAAAATTAATCATTAATCACATTTAAAGTTTGGTATTTTAAAGATTAGCTAGCTTTATCATACTTATTTAATTCTTTGCTGATTCTTAGAAATAATATTTTGGTTTTGAAACTATTAGGGTAAAAGGCATAGGAGAGCTATAATTAATATTCGTGAGTAGAGAAGTATAATGCCATAGTTGAAATTCAATAATAGTACTAATATTTATAGATATAAGGCAAGCAGTAATATAGCTGGCTATGTGCCAAACACTTGAAAATAATTTCAGTTGACAGTCAATCTCAGCATCTTTACATTCATAAATTATATGGCTATTGAAGTTGGATATTTTAGGTTAGATAGAAAAATCAGATTGCTTTTCAGTTTGTCACAGTTATAATGGTGACTGAATATTACTCAGGTATTACTCAGACCTGTATGTAATAGAAAAAAAACAAAAACAGAAAAACCTATTTCCTCACCTAAAGGCAGTGGTCCAACACTTGGGTGAATATCTTCGGAAGCAGAAATAAATTCTGAGATTGAAACTTTAGCCCGACCACAGCAATTTATCTTCTTGAAAGCTGAGGTTTTTCAAACCTGTTAGGCTGGAATAGGAAGCAGATCCTGTAGAAAGATATACAACTATAAGGGAAAAACAGTGACAGTAAACAAATCCGAGCTAATCTTACTCTATTGTGTGTGTTTCTTTTAACATTTGGTAGATATTTTGCTTGATGATGCTGGTGATGCAACTGGACATAAAGATGGCCGCAGCGTGAAAATTATAGTCTCCATAAGCAAGGGCTACGGCCGAGCAAAGGTATTTCTTTAATTTTAGCTTCTTTATTACTAAAGGATAAAAATTCCCATGAGTCAAATGTATTTTATATTTGAATATTTGTTCTGGTAAATGTCCTTTCAGAGGTGTTTGTCTTGCCATTAGCTTAATATGTTACACGAGCATGAAAATTGGTGACAATAAAGAAATGACATCCTACAGGTAGAAACGTCTTACCTGTACACACCTTCATTCATTGAAAATGCTATTGATCATCAGCCTTCCTCATTTCTAAAACTTAAAAAAAAATAGTTGCTTTCTTTGACATAAAGATCTTTCTTGTCTTTTTCTCTTGATATCACTTGTTGGTTACAGGTAATATTGATAATGTGTAATAACATGTCACTACAGCTGCTAAATATGATCTTTGTAGAAAGAGAAGACTATAAGCTAAATGAATATTCTAGACATTGGAAAGGCATATTTTACTGAACTCAGTATGACAAATTCCATTGATGCTACTTGTCTGTATTATTTTTAAGCAAGGTCCTAGCTGATTAGGCAAGTATTTCAATTTTTCGGAATCAAATATTGCCTTCAAATTACCATTCTGAATATTGTCATTCAGAATATTGCCATTCTGATTCTAGCTTTTCCTTTAAAAAGATTTTTAAGTTGAATTTTTAGCTGAGTGGCCAAGAATATACATGTGTAAGTGTCTAATTTTTTTATACCAAACAAAAAAATCCTTTAGAACTTTAAAATAATTGAAGTACTTAAGTTTGGAAAGTGAGAGAGCACTTGTGACTTTTTACATTTAGCAAATGTTCCAAGGATTTCAATGTCATAAACTTTCTGCTCGAGCTGCAGATTTGTGCCTACTTTTCCCAAGTGAGTCCTTATGTGAGAGACTGTAATACTCTCAGTGAAACCTAAACTACTTCGAATTTAAAGTCAACTGTTTATAAAGCATTGTATAAGTGTCCATTTTGTCTGGATTATAAACCCACTAGAAAACAAATTTTTCTTTTTAGAGTAATTCTAAAAGACAATGTCTTTGAATGTTTTTTTCCTAAAAAGAACTGCCAAGAAAGTAGTTGTCTAATTCTGCTTGGGCTACCATAACAAAATCCATAAACCAGTTGGCTTAAACACAGAAATTTGTTTTCTCACAATTTGGAGGCTAGCAAGTCCAAGATCAGGGTGCTGGCCAATTTGTTTACTGGTGAGGGCTCTTTCTTTGGGAAGCTGATGGTGGACTTTTTGCTCTGTCCTCACGGGGCCATACCTCAGTGTCTGTGTGTAGGGAGAGAGAAAGAGGCCGCTCTTAGGCCACTAATCCCATCATGAAGCTTCGACTCTCCTATCTAATCTAACCCTAATTGCCTCGCAAAAGCCCCATCTCCAAATATCATCACATCAGGGGTTAGGGCTTCAACATGAAATTTGGGGGGGAACACAAACATTCAGTCCATAACAGTAGTGAAGAAAAAAATCGCAATTATTTAGCTGTGAATTTCTCAGCTTTTTCTGAAAAGGGTATTGGCTTCTAACTCAGAAGGTTATATCTCAATAATGGTGATAATCAATTACCCTTATAAGGTTAAATATGACAGATGAAGCAATTGAGGCTATGAGCCAGTTAAGTTATTTACCTAAGGTCACATTTCTTAATTAGGTGGTAAGCGTTGTGTGTTGTAGAATCCATCCTCTAACACTTGGCTGTTTATTCAACCACCTCTTAAGGGCAACATACTTGGGTGACTAGAACCGGATTGTAATATATCGACTATCTAATTATATATACTGGTATTATGATCATTATTTCATGTGACCATTTCCAGTCGTCATAAAAGAGGCTCCAGTTAGACTACAAATCCTGAATTGCTTACCTTTTTGTACATATGTGGAAATTCCTCAAAATCTCATCCTACAGAAAAGATAGATTTGGAAACATTACTTATATTATAAAAGAATTCTTTGCTTGATAAAATGAGTCCTGCAGGTTTTTCTAGCAAGTTCTTTAAATAGTGAGTTTTTAGATAAATTTGAAATGGGACCTGTTTTGTAAATATGAAAATGCCATACTACCCATGGATAAATTATTTCTTAAAGCTAGATTGGATTTTAGATTAAAATTAATAAATGAAAAAACTGAGTTCTGGACTTATCAAAGATAATATCAAAAAATAGTAAGAAAAAGTTTTAAAATTCATGACAGTCTTTTTCAGTCTCTCTAACCATTTCCCTACTATTAAGCTGCTCCTCTTCAGTAATGTGTCCACTCCATTAAAATGCAATTCCCTTCTACTGAATAGGTCATGAGTCAGTTTTCCATGACATACCACTTCATCTCTTTCTTTCTTGTTGTTGTTATTGTGTTACTTTGATTATTTGGTTGGTTGGTTAGCTTGTTGGGATATGTTTTACTTTATATAACCCACCATGTGTGTCTGTTAGTGTGCAACACATAGGCTTAATAAATACTTCAGTTTTAGTCACCAACTCGTTAATAAATTTTAATAGAAAATGTAGTAATAAAACAAGATTTACAGTTGAATTTTCATCTTATTTTATTTTGTTCTTATTTAGGATCAGAAGTCTCATGCGTATTTGATAGGATCTATTGGTGTTAGTGGAAAAACCAAGTGGGATGTCTTAGATGGTGTAATTAGGCGTCTCTTTAAGGTAAGTTGTGTGCGATATCCTGATATTAATTTTCAAATGTGTTTCTTTTTAGATGCTTTTCTTAATTTTAATAGCATAGGCACATCTGCTTTTTCTCTCCTCCATTTCAAAGAGAAAAATAAAATCTTTTTTTTTCTTGTGTTGTTTGATATTAACAGTTCTTGTATACCCATCTCTAAAATTCTCGACAACTACCTTTATATCCCCATAAGTTTTGTGTTTGTTATAGATGAGTTGAACTTCTCTTTTGACTTTACTTTTTTGTGTGTGCCACTTCAGGAATATGTGTTCCGAATTGACACATCTACTAGCCTTGGTCTGAGCTCTGACTGCATTGCTAGCTACTGTATAGGAGACTTAATTAGATCCCATAACCTAGAAGTGCCTGAACTGCTGCCTTGTGGATACCTTGTTGGAGATAATAACGTTATCACTGTGAACCTGAAAGGTAAAATTAAAAGAAAAGCACATTCTAATTTTTTTACTAACATCACCTCTCCTTTTTTTGCATTTTCCTTTCAAATTTTCATTTTGGAAAATTGCGTTAACCACTTTGATAATTTTGGTATTAAATGAGCCATGTTGATTTTTAAAACACTAAAAAATAATACTAAAAACACTAAAATCCAAGGAAATTAAATTAATTGGGTTCTGGGATGTAAAACTTGAGATACAATTCTTTTTTTTTTTTTTTTAATAAAAAGATGATCAGTAAGGAGATCTTAACCCTCTACTTGGTGTTGTCAGCACCACACTCTCCCAAGTGAGCCACGGGCCGGCCCTTGAAATACAATTTTGAAGATTCACTAAGACTTATAAAAAGGAATGTGATTTAGAAAATTTCAAATTTCTACATGTTCCTTCTCATCTTTCATTACTAAAGGATTCAAATAATTTGTTGTATATTCCTAAATAATATATACATTGCTATAAATTTGAGTTTAAAATATTTATGCCCAGTAAATATCCACTGGGAATAAAGAATGGAAGTTAAGAATCGGGGATGAGGAATTATTTTCTTTGCTTTGAATGATTATAGGCTAATGTAGTATCTGAAGTATATTTGTCTCCATAATTCCTTGTTTGTATATGTTCAAGAATCAGAATACATCTATGTCAGCTGTGTGTTAATAGAGGAATTTATCAATATTTGATTTTATGATTAAGGTAATTGAATTAATAAAAGATGATACTGTTGCTTCCCTCCTTAATTCCTTGACAAACATCACAGTTTGGATTCTTCAAAAGTGTAAGTGGTTGTATAGCTGGGATGTGTAATGAGAGATGGAAGGGGCATAAAGAGGAGAAAAAAGTAAGAAAAAAACACAAACATGCTTATATATGCATATATATATAATCTTCATATTTATTCTTAACAAACCTAACCATCTTTAAAAAGAAGAAAGATTTTATGATAACATTTATAATGTTTCCATTTCTCTCTGGAAACAAAAGTGGAAAACATGAAGACAGTGGAGGGAAGCCTGAAGGAATCCGATTGCCTTTATTTGGACATTCGCTGCCTAATTACTGATATGTTTTCTGTCTTAAAATGGCAGCGCATTCTTCTGGGATAGAAATATCTAGGAAATTATTTTGCAAAGATTGTATTCCCCTGAATAACAAAGCTCTGTTGTTGGTTGATACCATATTTTAATTTCAAGTTTTGTAGAACAATGAGACATGCTGTTCCCTTTGTTTCTTCCTTCAGGGGTAGAAGAAAACAGTTTGGACAGTTTTGTTTTTGATACGCTGATTCCTAAACCAATTACCCAAAGGTACTTTAACTTGTTGATGGAGCATCACAGAATTATACTCTCAGGACCAAGTGGTACTGGAAAGACCTACTTAGCAAATAAACTTGCTGAATATGTAATAACCAAAGCTGGGAGGAAAAAAACAGAGGACGCAATTGCCACTTTTAATGTGGACCACAAGTCAAGTAAGGTAAGTCACAGAATCCTAAGAGAACAGCTGTTATTTATCCATAAGTGTCTTAAGCAATCAAGTTTTAAGGTTTTGTGAGACTTGCGTATTGTACATAGAAATAATAGTCATCTCTTTCACTGAAACTATAATCTGATGAATGACCAAACTCTGTTTCATGAGTTTGAACAAGACTGCTATTTTCAATAACATCCAGTTATCAGGTACTCCACAAGGCATAAATGAAATGACAGAGCCCCTATTGTCTGATTTCTCTTAGACAATTATTTAGGAAGTATTAGAGTAGAAAGAGGTCTATGCACAGTGCTACAGAGGCAGGAGGGAAGAACTATGCTTCATTGAAGAATCAGAGCTTTATAAAGAGGCAATACTTGGTCTGGATCTTAATAGATAAGTAGGAATTAATTGGGGGGTTGCAGCAATGGGGATTTAGAGATAATTAGAATGTTCCAGGCAGAAATTCTGGGAGTAGCAATTTGCTTACACCAGATTTCTATAGGATTTCTGTTTAGGAACCTTAGGAAACTGAACAATGTCCAACTTCCCTGCCAACTAAGGTCTCATGTGCCATAGTAATTGGCCTGAACACTCTCAGCTATTAAATAGGCATGAGTGGCTATAAAGCCTAGCCATATATTCTTTCATATATTCTGAGTAACATAAAGCATCCTAAAAGAAAAGAAATAGATGATGGCTAACATATTCCTAATACTAAAGTAGTTTTACCCATAATTATTTATTAAAGTCTGAATCAATGCATCCTGAGGTTCTGTTGGGAAATGGCAAACCTTATAAGCAGTACCTTGAGAGAATGATACTGGGTCAGGTCATACTATTTTTTTTTAAAGATAACCTGGTTAGATGATCTAAACCGACCCAGACTCGCAGAAACCTCAGATATGCAAATTCCAAAAATAAACCTGAATCCCCAAAGTAACCCAAAACCATTGGATCTTGAAATAAACCAGACATATACTTAGTGAACATAAGTTTTTAATGGGGTAGCTCATTAAGTCCTTAACACTGACCAGCTGTGGGATTGAGGGTTAATTACTGAATTTTCTTGTGCCTTCATTTTCTCATCTGTAAAATGGGGAAAATAGTAGGGTGGTAGAAAGGACAAAATGTGTGTGTGTGTGTGTGTGTGTGTGTGTGAGAGAGAGAGAGAGAGAGAAGCAAAAGTAACAAGCAGAATATAAGGGTTCCCTGTAGTGATTAATTATAATAGCCCTTGGCTACCATCTTACACAAATACACCTTTGTTTAAAATTGTCTTAATGTGTTTTTTAAGGAGAACAAAGATGTTCATAAAGCACAACGGGATCTCTAAGAGTTAAATAAGTTCCACACATGAACTCTGAGAACTTAGCACTATTCAAATTATTGTTGAACCATGCAACATCATTTCAACTAAAGAGAGACATGGAACCTGAGGTGGAATACTTGATCTCTAAGCAGAAGTAGGGAGAGCCGATTGTTTGTCTGCTTCAGCATATATGTTTAATGCCTCCTGTGAATTCTGTCTCCTCATATGTTTACATGAAAGCCTTTTAACACATTTTTTTTTCTTTTCAGCCAAAAGAGATGAAAAGATTGAGGTCTCTCAATCACCCTCAGTCTTCTCTTTGTTTTTTCCTCAATGTTATATGAGAGCACTCTTCACAAGTTACCTCTTTCATGGGGAAAAAAAAAGTGGTTAGAAAATAAGAGTAAGATAGATTTATTAAAGGAGATCACAAAGCATTTTGATAAAGCTGGGGATCAATTAAAATCAAGTTTTGAATTAAATAGATTGACTTTGAGCTTTGTTAGGATGTAATTTGACATACTAAAATAAACTAGGTAATTTCCATTAATTATAAAATATACCTCCCCTAAAACACACACACACACACACACACACATACAGATATATGTATGTATGACTTTAGGAAAAGAAGGTTTAGAGGTCGGAGATGTTCTTTATCAATAATGTTATGTGAATGTCTTTTTAAAATTTTTTTGGTTAAATATTTTCAGCACTCTTATTTTCTGCTTTTGCACTATTAGGTCAGTTAAGTTTTTGTTACTGCAAAATAATGGGAAAAGAAAACATTGCCAAGAGTGTTTGAAAAGAACTAATGATGCTAGAAAGTAGTATTAGGAAAAAACCCATGGAAAAATCATGTGCATTCATCACCAAGAAAGCACAAAATTCAACTAAAAAATGTTTATTATTTGTTTGTGGTTGTAAGATATGAATGAGCTGTCAGTAACACTGGATGCAGAGTTATTGCTGGAGAATTTGGCCAATTCTTGCCAAATTGACAGAATTCCACTGTTATTTTGGAAGGTGAGAGTGGAAGTGAATGAGGATGATATAAAAGAAGAGGGATGACAAATTGAAATTGTGTTAGGGATAGCTAATAACAGTATAGATTTACAAAAGTAAAACATCAATTAGGCATGAAAGAAGAAATCCTTTTCCTGAAGAAATAGAGCTGTGTAATTGCTGACATGTTTTATGCTATGCCACAGATAGCACTGAAAAAGCAAATCCAAAAAGCACTTACTGATTCCCAAAACAAAATCAAACAATAATCCATCAAATGAAAAAAAAATCATTGCATGTTTTTGGTACCTCTGCATTTTACATTCTGTTCCTCTTCCCACACTTCAAGCCCTCCCTCAAGATGCCAGCTGGAATATTTTGATTGAGAGCAGTACACATAAACAATTACACTTTGTGACATTCAATATAGTGGGCCCAGAAGGCTAAAGAAGGACTTAGTATATGTGGCAAGCTAAAGCCACTTAGAATGTTAGGTGGGAAAAGATCAGAAAACTGGACTTGGTAGATTTGTTTTCAGTGTGTCAGGTGTCAAAATCAAAGTTTTTATATGACTGCAGTGTTCTGTCTATGTTTTCAAAGTATGAGATTCATCTGATTGTCAGTGTCCATCTGGTAGATATATGCCTGTTTTCTTATACCTGACTAGATCTGAACATAAAACTTTAACGCTAATGCATCAATACCTCAATCTAAAGACTTTATCTCCATTAAGTTAGTGGGGATCATGAAGGAGTCTAAATGGGTCTGTAAAAAACTAGGTTCTATGAAAAATTTTTCTGCGTATGCCTACTTCTACATCTCACTGGTCTATAGCTTTTATTAGATTCCCAAGGGATCTACCACCATCTCAAAATGAAGGAGAATCACATTAGAATCTAATGGCCCTGCTTGTCCAAAAATCACCCAATGACCTCCTAATCACCAAATGCAATGCCTTTGTGAGCACGTGCATCGTGCATGTGCGTTCTCTCTCTCTCTCTCTCTCTCTCTCTCTCATGTATGATGTGTTGCTACAGTTGATCTCTCCTTTCTTGAAATTCTTCCAACTTTCATGATTATCATTATCTCCTTGTTTCCTTCCTACCCCTTGGTAAGTTCCTTCTCAGTCTCTTCCACTGACTTCTCTTCCTTCACCTAGCAGTAATTAAAAATATTTCCCAATGTTCTGTTCTCTCTCACTTCTGTTCCCCTTCAGATGACTCCTACAGCTTCAACTTGTGCAGCTGATTCCTGAACACTACAAGCCATGCCCACTCTCCCAAATATGTAAGCTCTCTATTAGCTTACAAATATGTGTCTATTCACCCACTAAATATATGTGTTTAGAAATGAGAATCTCAGCACTGAAGAAATATATCATAAGTCAACTATCAAACCTTTTCCATTCATCTCCACTATAACTACCCTCCCACCCAAATGATCACCCTGTCAGTTGGACTCCTACAATTGTTTTCTAACCACTCGATTCACAATCTCCCTTAAATTTTCCTTTTCTCTTTTCCTGGATTTATCCATTAACCTCATAGAAAATAGAGTATCTTTTCATAATTATATTTTGATCACATTAAAATCTTTCAATGTTTCCTATTGCTTTTTGCACTGTATCAAAAATATCACACTGTTCCATGTTCGGTCCCATAGTATCTCTCGGCTTCAACAATTTTGGTGTTCTCTTGACTCGTCTCTCTTCTTCCTTTTCCAATACTACACTGTTAAATCACAATTCTATTCTACTTAGACCCCTAGAACATTCCATGTTTCCAGTGATTTTGCCAATCATTTAAGATTGCAAACTTTTCTTTCTAATTTATCTACCATCACTTACTTTCAAGGAACATTTACTAATAGGGTTTTTTTTTTCTATGTGGATATCACATTTTCATGTTTCTGCCTTTATTATTCTCCCTCTATTTGGAAAGCTATTCCCCTATTTTTAATCATCAAAATATTACTGAGCCTTAGGGCCGGCCCCGAGGCTCACTCGCCGAGGCCTTGGGTTCACCAGCTGTATCTCTGGCTGTGCGTGGTGCGGACCACACCGTGCCAAGGGTTGCGATCCCCTTACCAGTCAAAAAAAAAAAAAAATTACTGAGTCTTAAAAGTTAATACCAAATACTACGGCCACCAGAATGTCTTTTCCAGAAATTCTGTAACTAGAAGCTAGTGCGGACCACACCGTGCCAAGGGTTGCGATCCCCTTACCGGTCAAAAAAAAAAAAAAAAATTACTGAGTCTTAAAAGTTAATACCAAATACTACGGCCACCAGAATGTCTTTTCCAGAAATTCTGTAACCAGAAGCTAAAGGTTATCCTTACATGGTGTAAACAAAACCTTTGATCTGTACTTCTTTGAAGTAAAGTATTATTTTCGATTGTGAATTATACTTATATCTGTACATGCCTAACCTTCTATTCTAAGATGGTAATAAGCTTCTTGAATGCTTTTTCCATTTCTAATTAATGATTATATCTTTCACATTTCTGTTTCCTCGGATAAATAAATTTCTCTCCCCTACTGAAAACAGATAAGCAAACAAACATATTGATGGTTTATATAGTAAATTGTTTATATAGTTAAGCCCCAGCTTCTCTGCATGAATTCAAAGTCTTTTTTGTTTCCTTTTTCATTGCCACCACTGCTACCATGTACATGCTCTCCTACAACAACAGAACACTTATTATTTCCTGAAACACATTGTATATTCACACTTTCCAACTTTCGCTTTTTATTCCCTCCTTTTTGCCCACTGTACCCTGTTGTTCTCTGAACCTTATGGCTGGGTTAGGTGCCTCTCTTAAGTCTCAGTATAGGGTTTTGTCCATTTCACTTACCACACTGTACTGTGATTCACTTGTTGACCTCCTTCTCTGCTTATCAACTCTAAGTTCCTAGAATACAGAAATTATGTTTTATCTCTGAATCCTTGGTGACAAAGCACTTGGCACATAGCAGGTGCTTGATAAAGGCCTGTTGAAAGAATGAATAATGCCATACTTCTCCATTGGAATTCTACTCATTGTTAAAGATTCATCTCAAATGTTATTTCTCTTTGAAGCCCATTAGGATATACAGTTGGAATTAATCCCTCTCCCTCCTATAGGCCACATCCCTCCTTTAACCTCTATAATGGAATGTTTCAGACTGCATTTTGTAAGTTCATTCTTTATGTGTGTGCTTTCCACCCTCCCCGAGCTTCAGCATTACCTCCTCCAGAAAACTGTCCTTAACATCCACCTCCTAGGTGAAATCTCTTCCCTTGACCTCTCATAGCCCATAATAAACTTACAATATTATATGCTATTGAAAGGATTTATCATGTTTAAATTTCAGGCCCTAATGGTACAACTCTCTATTAGAGCCTAGAGGGGAAGAGAGTCTAATTACCTTTTTGACACCCATGTCCAGAAAAATACTTGGTGCAGTTCACAATAAATGTTAAACTTATTTGAACTCCACAATAGCAGAAATAAAGCTTTGTTATTTTTGTACACCCCAGGGCTTTGTCTAAGACTATGGACATAATAGAGAGTGAATATTTTATAAGTGAATGAATGACAATACAACTAGATTAGTGATATAAATTTCATTTCTCTTTTAAGAGAAATGGAATTTTCCAGACTTTTTACCAGTTTTAAACATATTTTTCTGTATTCTCTGATTTAGGTAACCTATATACTATGTGACTGGCTTAATATAAAACAAATAATTTTGTAGTTCTTTAATAAATTTTATATTTGAACTTAAATTAATATTACTAAATGCCTCAAAACATTTAGTTATTGTTTTATCACCTTCTACTTTTATTTCTACTTTTACTTCTAAAACTGGTATTACAGACATAGAGAGGTTAAGTGAGTGGTTTACATTTCTACCTGGCCCCCAGAAATTGGGATCATGGAATTGTTTTTTAATCCTGAGCAAGATTTACAAATTGAAAATGTCATTGTGAATATGCAAATATTATGGAAATGTTCTTACTGATTAGGATAATTCTAAGAAACCTAATTATGTTCCTGGCCTACCCATCTGTGAGAGCAGTCAATCAGCGAACTTGTTATCATATTTAGATTAAAAGCTATTAGACAGGAATAATACCTGTAAAAGAACCGAGAAGCTCAAGAAATGCTAAGTGCTAATGTTAAATGACCCAGTGAAATAAAACAAACTTTGTCTTTGTTTAAAAATCACAGCAGCTGCATGCAGATTATAAGTAAATAATTAATAAACTGCACTTTCAGATGAAGCCCATCTAAATGAATTGGAATTAAAACGTAAAAAGTATTAGTGGCAACTGAAAGGTGCCATTTTGGATTTATTTTATACTTAGAATTATAAAGTTTGCTAAAAATCCACTTTTACTATTGGAATACCAAAAATAAGATGAAATCTCAATATTTATGGTTTATCATGAGTGTTCATATCCAGAACGAATTTTGGCTTTTCTTCTGGGGAGAAAAATCACTGAGAAATATGCCTTTGTGTTTACAGGTTTTTTTGCTATAGGTGTTCGGTACTGGCTTGCCTCTTCTTGATTTCCCTCTTCCCTCTTTTGTTTAAAAAATGTATCCTTTCAGAATTCTTTGTTTTTTGCTTTGTAGAATAAGATTTTATGACATAGAACACTTTATGACTTTTAGTGAAAGAAACTGGATGGAAGAAAAACATGCTTTTTCTAAAATAGTAATTGCCTGCCCTTGGTATAAATTTATCATTGATGTGTTCATTTTCTTTATTTTTTTAAAAGGAATTGCAACAGTATCTAGCTAACCTGGCTGAACAGTGCAGTGCTGATAATAACGGTGTAGAGCTCCCAGTTGTAATAATTCTTGATAATCTTCATCATGTGGGCTCTTTGAGTGATATCTTCAATGGCTTCCTCAATTGTAAATACAACAAATGGTATGCTTAACAAACACTTTGAATAATCAAGTATG